AAAGGTTAACAGTTAATTAAATAAACTAGTTTATGATGATTACATTTAAAGCTGCTGTAAATTAAGTGAGATCACAATAGGCCTGTAAAAGTTCACGTTTCGTTCCCTGAACATGAACGCTGAAGTGCGTTGACGTTCCTTGAATGTGAACGTTACAGCACTGGTGAACAGAGCTTTTTTCATACGAACGGTGTTCATATTGTCTGACGTAAATATAAAATTCTGTTCTTGTACTGTAGTAAGAACATGTACATTTCTGCTTGGTTTTATCTGATCAATAGAAACTCTAGTAAACAATCAGACAGTCTGCTCAAGGCAGTGACCAGATTATTGCAATGTGAAAAGGATAGCCACTGATTCTCTGATTAAGACGTTGATTCTTCCAAGAACAGATCGCCGATTTTCTGACCAGAAGTCTAGTTTTTCCTGCACTGGAACCGATGTTTCTTGGTCCAAACTATTTCAATAACTACATACGTTTTTGTTTATTATCGTAACCATTACGGCGCTAATGAGCGTTGAGGTTTCACTAAATATAATTGTAATGGAGAAAGCTGTTTCATTTGATATACTACTAGCTAAAATTGCTATATAACGTTTTGCAATGCTATTCATTCCTCACAAGATCAATACCGTTCATATAAAATAAAGTTCACGTCCACCGAAACATTCGCGTTGACGTTCAAAGAGAACGCTAAAAAGGAACTTTTGCAGGCCTAGATACCGACTTCGGCAATCCCAGTATCCCAAGCATTTATTAATTTACATAGATATATGCATACGGATACACACTCTGTATCGAGTAAAATCCGATTTATACATTCACACATACGTCAATATACATATATTAATATGTATATGAGCTGATTAAGCGCAAACTAATATGGAACGAACTGACGAGATGTCCCCTTCCGATTTCAGTGATTTGTACATGAATCAATAGACCTCAGTGAAGTAGTAAATACACTAAAAGGATTCGAGCCCGTGACTTTTGAAGACTTGGTTTTTCAGAAACTCTAAAAAGTAAAACCAAAACCTTCTTTTAATGAAGCCCGCAAATTTTTGATTAAAATCAGACATCTCCTAGCTCTACACGACCTTTCTTTGCAAAATTATAGAATTTACAATGTTACATTTATTGTTATCAGTGATTTTATTATAATTCATTCATAGTATGTAAGTTTAGTTTTCGCTTTTTCCTCTCCTGTTTGTTTAGTATGGGTGGTTAGGATTCTGTTCATAGTATGCAAACTTACTCCAAACAACATTTACTCTTACTTCTCTTTGTAAGTCTAACAATTCCAAAGCTGTGATATATTCTGAAACTTTCTCATCGTCAAATCGGATAGGTTGTATAGAAATTCTGCTTTGTCGAGAGCGTATTTCACTTGGTGTTTTTTTATTGTGAAAACTAATATTTTCACTAAAGACAAATTATCACGAATTTACAAAAAATTATTATTAAAACTATTTTTTATTCCATTTAGCAATAATAATTTAATATTATAAGCAAAGAAATGGAAAAACAATTAAAAACCAAAACACATGTTTATTCTACAGTATATCGTGGTGAAGAAAAATGTCTAGAAGAAGCTATCTTATTACCAATTAATAATGCGATAATGTATCCAAATAATAAAATATTATATGAAAAATCAGATAATAATATAGATTTTATAGATATTTCGAATATAGATAAACAAATATTTTTCGATAAAGGATCTAATCAAGATACGGTTTATGATAATGTTATAAAAAAATATAATTTAGCTAAAAATCATTTAAATGAATGAATATCAATGTGAAATGATAGATAGTGGTTATAAATTTATTTTAAATTTAATCGATAATAAATTACCGACAATTATTGCAATTTCAGAAATTTATCCAACATATTTTGATCTTGGATTATGTTCAAATGATTCAAATAGCCGTTGTTTAGATCATAGTCGTAGAAATATTGATAATTTTATACATTCGGGTGATGTTAATATAGGTAATTCATTATTACATTGTATATCTGGTCAATTTAATAATAGAATGAAATATGTGACTATTATTTCTGGATATTCAAATACACCATTATATCGTTATATTGAACGACGGCCAATAGTTACAATTATTGATCATGAAAAAAAAATAATCTATATTGTTTCTGTGCCATTAGATCAATTTACTATAGGAGAATCAACTATATGTTTACCAATTGGTATTACATGTTTAAATAATC